CGCTCAGCAATATTGGCGTCTTTGACTTCGGCAACCTCTGGAAGCGTAGGTTCACGTCAGCTCCAGCAAGTCCAGCCGTCACCTCTTGTTCTCCTTCTGCCATGACCGGGGCGCTATCGTTCACGCCTCGGATGCGCATGGATGATCCTCTCATCCGCGTGGTGACTCTGCCGTCCTCTGTGTAGCCGTCCAATGATATTGAACCTCCACATCCACGTAGGCACGCAGTGTCCAGTACAGCATGTCCATCTGGGATAGGTCCTTTTCGTACTGCGTAGGCTTCGATTTCGTCCAGCTCCTCGCAAGGTTGCTGCCGCCCTGTTGTTGGCGTGCGGTCGCCCTCTGGGACGTAGTTGGTTCCAGCTCGGCGTTGCGTCCACAACCATGTCGGTCGTACTCCAATCGGTAGGCGCTCGCAGGTATTCCTCACGATGCCACGAAGCTCCGAGGTCCTGTCCCAGGCTGCTTGGCATAGATCGTAGGCCATATTCCTGAGACCGTTCGGTGCCATCTCCATGGTGATGTGCATGAGCTGCTGGAAGCGGTGTAGGGCCCAGTCCAAACAGAAATCCCTGTAGTCCCTGAAGGCCGCTTCCATGTTCTCGCAGCTGACCCACAACACTGCGATCTGCTCAGCACGATCTCGTATCTTCTGTAGGTCGGCCGCTGTGTTGTCTTCCTCCAGGTAGTCTGTGCTTGGTCTGCTGGGCTCCGTCCTTCCTGTCGACCACGACCCTGGTGTCGGTCTGCTTGTCCACGATCTTTCCTCCGAGCTCACTGGAGTGCTCAGGGGTTCGTCAGGTTCTTGTGCTTGATGCTCTTCAGGTACTGCGTGTAGCTCGTGTGCCTGGTCGATCCTCTCTTGGAAGTTCGGCTGGTCTCCCGTTGCTGATACCGCGTAGGGGTTCACGATCTGCTCCTCGGTGTCGATCCTCACCTTCGTCAGACTCGTGATCTCCTCCATCGCCACGTCTATGCTTGCCAGCTGGTCGCTGACAGTTTGAATGGCGGTCATGTCCATCGAGCTGTCCGCCATCAGCAGCTTGACCGCGGTCGCCATTGCGAATCCAGCTCGTCGTAGAAAACCTCCAGGTCGTCCGTGAAAGCCTCGTCCTCCACGATCATCTCGTCCTGTGCTGTCCAGCTGTATCAGCATGGCTGCCGTCACGTCGTCCCAGATGTACTCGTTGCTGCATTGGCCAAGGATTGCCTTGTGCTCTTGCGTGCTGATGTTTGCTAGCTTTGGTAGAGAGTATGTCCGTAGGTGTTCGCTGACTGTCGTGTTCGTTGAACGTGACTTGAGCCGCTCGTACTCCGTCTCCCGCCTCGATCTGTAGTCCTGCACAGACTCCGTTCGAGTGCGAAAACCTCGGAAGAACTACTCCTCGAACGCTTGCTGCTTCTGTAGTGGTGCGATTCTCTCGCACGCCTGTCGTACTGTAGTTACCACCAGTTTGACTGCAGCAAGTGGGTCATTACCTGCTTCGTCCAAAACTGCGTGCGTACTGATTTCAGCCTTCTTACGTGTGAGTGTCCACGCTCGTCCGTTTAGAGAGTTCTTGAGCTTGATCGCGTAGAGCTTCTTGATTTTCTCCTCGCTCGCGTGGTAGCCGAGTATTGCACGCTCCTCGAACTCCTCGCCGTAGGAGGGGTCTCCGTTGTAGTGTACCACGCCCTCCTTGTCAGCGAAGAGGGGCCCGTCATTGAACAGCTGCTGCTGCCTGGACGTCATCTTGATGACTGTGATGCTACTGAGCTTGTCACCGATGTAGTAGCTGTCTTGATCGTTGCTGCTGTAGTTTTGCTGCTCGCCCGGGATGCTGTTGATGCAACGATCCTCGTCCAAGCTGTTGTAGGTAATGATATTGAGCGTCTTGTCGATCACCGTGATCTGTTGCGCGCAGTGGTTAAGCACCGCGAGGATGTAAGTGAGCGCCAGCATATATGTCTGCACGGCCACTCTGTATGAAATCCTCGCACCGCGGACTGATTCAGCTCGCGCTACCAGTGTAACTATCGATCCAAATCTCTCCACCCACAACCTCTGGATGCAAGAAGAAATAGATAGAGTATGATCTGATATTATACCGAGTCAAGCTAGACAGTCGTTGAGTGTGTCCACCCTCCCGCACCAGCTGGCGGGTCCACAGCCAAAACGGCCGCGGTGAGCAAGAGAGTGCAAGCATGAGCGAGCGAGAACAGCAACATAGATAATTCTAAACATCATCCTATATCTCACATCCTTGCTAATACAACTTTCACACGGGGCACGGAGGGAGTTCGAATTTTTGGGGGGAAATCTGAGGGGGCATTTACGCCCCCCCCCCAAACAATGACAAAGAGAAGGAAGAGTTTGGGGACGGAATGGGGGCGGGGAGGAGGAGGAGGAGGAGGAAAAGGAGGAGGAGGAGGAGGTTGGAGGTGGAGGTGGAGGAGGAGGAGGAGGAGGAGGAGGAGGATGTGGAGGTGGAGGTGGAGGTGGAGGTGGAGGAGGAGGCAAAGGAGGAAGAACGGCTTGATGGTGAAGGAGTAGGAGGAGGGGGATGAGAGGTACAGGAGGCGGGTAGCGGGAGGGTAATTAGCTGCCGATATGTGGCATCATAATTGCCCACCCACCCCAGCATGCAGTTCTATTCACTCGGAACCGGTCGTGTTGTAGAGCTCCTCGTGTATGCCAGACGCCGAGCTTGAAGTGAGCGATGTGTTTGTGTGAGGCGGCTTGCTTTGAGATGTACGAGCTCTGGCAGCGCGCGCTGATTGCAATCGGTACGATAAGCTCGGATGCCCCGAGCGGCGCGACTTCATCAGGCTGGCGAGGGGCAGCGAGACGCAGCGCAATATCCGCTGGTGCGGGACACATGTCTAGGCACGGTTATTTAGGGGAAGAAATATGCCAAGTCCGCATGCGCAGAAAAGCTAGCTGGCTGTTTGTCGGCACATCGATGGCTTTGAAAACGTTGAGCACGATTTGCTTTAAGGAAACCGATTGCTTTACTGTGGCTCGACATGTGTGCGCGCGTGTGCGTGTGTGGATCGCAAAGTAGTCCATGGTGTGGGTGCTCTTACAACGCGCACGTGTGACATTCATCCATGCGCATCGCACCTGATCACTTGACGACAAAAGTGCCCGGGCTGGGCCGCACGGTCTATCCAGTTTGCGTTTGGCCCATCCCGTTGCCGTGCCCGGATCGTTCGCCAGAGGCCTGTGCGAGTGCAGTTGGAGTCCAGGGGTCTCCTCGGGGGGCATGGGAGCCATCCTGGGACAATTGGGGGCCTGCAGGGGCCTCTTTGGGGCCTGCCGGCTGTCTCGGGGCATGCCTCGGGGTGGGGGAGTTCGAGGGGCACTTCGTCGGCCCGTTTTCTACACATTCCATCGAGAGGAGCACATCTACGGTAAAGACAGCCTTTTCATGGCTTGAGCCTCGCGGGTTGGCCCCCAGTGTTTCGAAGACGGCCCGAGACGCATCCGAAACAGCCCCAGGACGGTCTGTCGGAGGGATCTGAAGGCGCGTGGGAACTTCGTGGGCAGTGCGCACCCCGCCCACGAACCCAAGGCCTCGGGAAGAGTCGCGCGGGGATCCCCAGGAGCGCGCAAGAGGGCCAGGGGGCGCCCCGAGATCGGGGGCCTGGGTTTCTGCCTTCCTCCTCCACGTCCTCCTCGGCCCCCCCCCACGTGCGCGGAGCGCCCCCCCCCCCCCGCGCGCGCGGGAGCGCGCGTGGGGGGGTGGGGGTGGGGCGGGGCGGATAAAGGAGGAGGGGCAGGGGAGGGGAAGAGGAGGGGGGAGGGGAGGGGGAGCGGCCGGGCAGGGGACGGGGGGGGGGCGGCAGGAGGAAGGAGGTCGGCGGAGGAAGTGGAGCTTGAAGAGGGTGAGGCGGGCGGGGGCGGGGGAGGATGAGGGTGAGGAGGAGGACGTTGTCTTTTTGTTTTCGGCCTACAGGGGCCCTTACGGGGCCTCGGGGCCGTCAAGAGACGACTCAGGATGAACAGTTGGTCCCAGGGATTGGGTCGAGACCTCTGGGGGTCGAGGAGTGAATAAGGAACAGGTCGAGGAGGTTGTATGAGGAGGCGAAGGAGGGGAGGGCAGAAAGGGGAGATGAGGTAGGGGCGGAAGGGGGAGGAGGAGGAGGAGGAGGAGGAGGAGGAGGAGGAGGAGGAGGAGGAGGAGGGGAAGGAGGAGGAGGACGACGAGGAGGAGGAGGACGAGGACGAGGACGAGGACGAGGACGAGGACGAGGACGAGGACGAGGAGGAGAGGAAACGGGAGCAGGGAGAGGAAGGAGGAGGAGATGGACGGGGAAGTGGGGGTGGGGGAGGGGTGAATCCGCGGACGACCGACCTGAATGCACCGTACCGAACTGACGTCCCCCGAGGCGTCGTCGATCCTCGACCAGAATTGGGACCCAGGATTGGGACGCCGCATAGCTCTTCGATCCTGGTACCCGAGTCAAAATGCACCGTATCGCGTTGGTGCGGGTCTCAAGGGGAATCCAGACATGGTAGATTGCATGGGCGCCGTTGTCGTGGGATGTGACGATGCAGAACAGAAGAAGGAGGGGAGAAGGGAAGGTGACATTGGAGAAGGAGTAGACGAAGGCGAGAGTAAAACTTGAAAAAGGGAGGTGGAAGGATGTGGAGGAGCAGGAGCACAGAAGATAAGACAGAGGACGGGGAGGAAAAGGAGGACGAAGAGTACGGAGACAGGGGGGATAGGGATGAGCACGAACATGCTGAGAAGGAGAAGGGTTAGGCGGAGGGGGAGGACGACGACGACGAGAAAGAGGTCGAGAGGAGAAGAGGAGGTGGAGAAGGAGGATGAGAAAGAAGAGGAGGAGGAGCAGGAGGAGGAGGAGGAGCAGGAGGAACAGGAGCAGGAGCAGGAGGAGGAGGAGGCGGAGGAGGAGGAGGCGGAGGAGGCGGAGGATGAGGAGGACGGAGGAGGAGGAGGACGGAGCGGGGGGATGGGGAGGGGCGGTGTCGCCCACGGCCTCGTGGCCGCAAGGCGGAGAGCTTCTCGCGGGACGCGCACCTGAACAGCCTGCAGCAGCAGGCTCCAGGGCCAAATGCTCCTTCTCGCTCCTCGCTCCCTCCCTCCATCCCTCCCTCTTCCCAGATTTCCGACGACCTCAGAGTGGTTTCCTGAGGTCTGGACCTGCGGTGCCTGTTCTCGGGCCCCTGGGGCCATCAGGAGCGGATCTGGTGCCGAAGGCTTGTCCCAGGGGAAGGGCCCGAGACCTCTTGGGGCCGCGGCATGACCACGCCGTCGCATGCGGGCGTCCCGCGCCGGCAGCGGCTGCGGACGAGCCGCCCGCCGTGCTCCTCGGAAGGGGGTGCCCCTCGCGGTCGGCCCACCGCCCAGGTCGGTGTGCGCTGCACGCTGCGCTCCTCTGCCGCACCTCAGGTGACGTTCGCTCCTCCCTCCCGCTTCGGACTCTCCCGGCCCGTCTGTCTGGCGCGTTCGGATGGCCGTCCTGCGGGCCTCCCTGAGCCGTCTTGGGGCACTCTTGGGGCGCTGCCGGGCGCCGTCCCTGGAGTCGTTGGAGCCGTTTTGGAGCCACCTTGACCCGTCTTGAGGCCCCCGTGGGAGGCTGGTTGGGTAGTGCTGGGGCCATCTTGGGGGCCTTGGGGGCCTCTGGGGCCGTCTTGGCCTGTCGGAAGCCCGATGAGGCGAGGGTTCGAATTTCAGTCATTTGGCGATTTGGGAATATACTGGCCCTCCTGGAGGGCCTCTCGGAGACTTCTGGGGCTGGTTTGAGGGCCTCCTGGGCCGTCCTGACACCTTCTTGGGCAGTCTGATTTGCATATCGGGCCGTCTTCGGACTAGATTGGGCGGTTTGGGAGGCATCTTGGGACCAGATCTGGCTCGTAGGGAGTCATACTGGTTGTCTTTGAGGTGTCTTAGGGGGGCTGTCGGATGGTCATACTGGAGCTCCTCTTGGACCCACACGTCTGACAAGAATTGCCAACCGGAGAATATGTATGTGTGGCCTCTCCAGGCGTTCCAGGAGGGCCTCTGGTCGTCCTCTCGAGCCGTCTTGAAGAGGGGCTCGTGGGCCGTCGTGAGGCCGTCTTGGGGTCACCTCGGTCCGTCTTGGAGGTGCATTGTGCGAGTTCGAAGGCTTCTTGGACCCTGCTGTTCCATCTTGGAGGCTATCTTGTACCGACTTGGGTTGTCTCGGAAGCCATCTGAAGACACATTCTAGGCTTCCTAGTAGATGGGGTCGGAGCAGACGGGGTCGGAGGATCGCGCCGTATCGCCGATGCATCGCCGATGCGGCTCGATGTGCAGCCCGATTTGCTTCGCGTCGACGTCGCCGATGCATCGCCGGCGTCGAGGATGCATCGCCAGTGCATCGGCGATGCATCGCCGATGCGTCGCCGATGTATCGGCGATGCGGCGCGATCCTCCGACCCCATCTAATCTAGGAGGCCTCTATGAAGACACATTGGGGTGTTGGAGCCCATTTGGGCGCGTCCTGGGCTGTCCTGGGGCCATGCCCGGGGGGCCTCTTGCCCCCCCCCCCCTCCCCCGAATGCCAGAGCGTCGAGACCACGAGCGTGCTGCAGCCAACTTCGAGGAAGCCTATGGCATGGGCATCTTCGAGCCCTCCTGGGGACCTCAATCTTAAGGCCCTAGTTGGGCCATCTGGGGTCGCCTCGAAGGTACCTTGTGAAACCACTTTGGGGGCTTCGTGGCCCATCTGGGACAAGCCATCTTGGCCGTCGTGGAGACGGACGCCGTGCAGGTTATAGGCGACTTTCTGGATGTTTATGGTTTCTGTGGTGCCTTCTGGGTGGCTAAAGGAATGCGCCGACACCCCACGGGGATCCATCTGAAGGGATCCAACAACGTAAACAGTACATTTGTGTCGCGCCAATCACCCTTTGCAAGCAAAAGGGGCTGGCGGATCGAAGGCGCCCACGGCGAACCACCGCTGCCCCCTGCCTTATGGAAGCGCCTATGTGGCCGAACGTTGAGGCCAGAGCTCGGCTACGCCATCGGACCGTGTGTTCCCCCAGTTGTCGTGGGAACCCTTCGGCGAACGCTTGGGGGAGGAAGAGGAATAGGATGAGAGGGAGGAGGAGGAGGAGGAGGAGGAGGAGGAGGAGGAGGAGGAGGAGGAGGAGGAGGAAAAGGAGGAGGAAGAGGAGGAGGAGGAGGAGGAGGCCTCTTGGGAGCTTTTGGGGCACCCTTGGGGCCTCCTGGGCGCCTTCTGGGGGCCTCCTGCGCGCCTCCTGCTCCTGGAGGCCTCTTTTGGAGGACGCCTTGGGCCTCTCGGGTGCGGGCGTTGTGCACTTTCCGGTCATCTTCGGCGTTCTTGTCCTGTCTGTCGCTGTCGGAAGCCGTCTTGGGGGGCCTCTCTGGGCCAGTCTGGAGCCTCTTGGGGCGCTTCGAGTCCGCCTCGGAGGCCATCTTGGGCGTCTGAGAGGTCGTCAGGGGGCCATCTTGGAGACCTTTTGGGCGCTCTTGGGGCCATCTTGGTGGCCTCTTGGGCCGACCTGGGTTGTCAGAATCCGAACAGGATCAAGTGCCAAACTCCTTCAAACACCTAAGGGAAATCGCAGATGTTGGCTTTTCGGGTCTTCGTAGAGATCCTCTTGCAGGGCTCTTGGGGCGTCTGTGAATCCTCTTGGGGGCCTCCTGGGCCGTCTTGGGCCATCTTTGGACCACCTTGGGCCATCTTGGGTTCTCTTGGGGCCATCTTAGCCGTCTTGGAGGCATCTTGGAGGCCATCTTGGCAGTCTTGGAGGCGAGTTTTCCTGTTTTTCCCCTGCCTTCCGAGTGGCCGGCGGGTTGGGCCGAGAGCAAGGGGTCTCTAAGATGCCTCTTTTGACCTGTTGGAGGCCTTGGGGCCCTCCTGGAGGTCTATTGGGGAATGGCTGGCTGTCTCGGACTCCATCTTTAGGTGAAGGGCTCCAAATTGCAGCTCGGGTTTCCCACTTGGGGGCCTCTTGGGAGCCTGCTGGACCCCTCTGGGGGTCCTCGGAGGCCCTCTTGAGCGGGTCTTTGGGGCCGATTGGGATGTCTGAAATCCAATGGCCGAGTATGCGACAACCATGCAACAACCTACAGCTGAGCTGCATACTTTGGATGAGTCATTTTCCGCGGGCGCCCTTGTGCATCCTTCAGCCACGCGCAGAAGGGGGGTGGGGGGAGGGGGGAGGGCGTCTTAGAAGCACCCCTGCTTAGAAGGCGCGGTCCTTATCTATAGATCTGAGGCCGGCGCCTTGTGAGAAGCAGCCTCCTTCTAAGAAGCCCCCCCCCTCCCTCCACCCCCTTGTGCGCGCCGCCAAGTCCTGGCCTCTCGCCCATCCTAGCCCATGGGCCACGGGCTTCCAACTTCGGCGGCTTCCGCCTGGACGCCCGCGGGCCTTGCATCCTTTTACCGCGCACCCTCTACGATATCCCGTCGCGCTGCATAGCCTCCCTCTCCACTTCGCCTCCGAGCAGCTTGGAGCGTGCGCGTGCGGGGAGACACTCAGGGGCAACGATAGGGGGGAAATAGTCATGGGGGGGGATGCATCGACCCCTAATCGCCGATTTATCGCCGATCTGGGCCCGATAGCCCCAACCTGCCCAAGAACGTGCGGATTCGCTATCGGGTCGCCCATTCGAGGTCGATGTGTCCCCCCTATGCCAGTCCCCCCCTATCGCCCCTCACACACGCACGGCGGAGCGACAAGGAATTACGCTACCGAGGAACCCCACATACTTATATTATGGCTGGAGTGATGATAGCTGAAAAGAAACATGTGAGAATAATGTTGGTGGCCGTTCCCTGCGCGCCCCCTCTGATGTCGAGAAAATGACACGCCTGCTGCGCCGTGCGAGCCTGCAACGGATAGAGACCGCACCCCACGCGCACCCCCCTCTGTTATCGAGATTTTGCCACGCTTGCCGCGCCCTGCACGCCTGAAACGCATAGAGACCGCACCCCATGTGCACCCCCTCTGGTGTCGAGAATTCCCACGCCTGCCGCGCCCTGCGCACATGCAACGCATAGAGACCGCACCCCCTGCGCACCTTCCTGGTGTCGAGAAAATGCCGCGCCTGCCGTGCCCTGCACGCCTGAAGCGCATAGAGACCGCACCCGATGTGCACCCCCTCTGGTGTCGAGAATTCCCACGCCTGCCGCGCCCTGCGCGCCTGCAGCGCATAGAGACCGCACCCCCTGCGCACCCTCCTGGTGTCGAGAAAATGCCGCGCTTGCCGTGCCCTGCGCGCCTGCAACGCATAGAGACCGCACCCGATGTGCACCCCTTCTGCTGTCGAGAACATGCCACGCCTGCCGCGCCCTGCGCGCCTGCAACGCATAGAGACCGCACCCCCTGCGCACCCCTTCTGCTGTCGAGAACATGCCACGCCTGCCGCGCCCTGCGCGCCTGCAGCGCATAGAGGCCGCACCCCCTGCGCACCCTCCTGGTGTCGAGAACATGCCGCGCCTGCCGTGCCCGCGCCTGCAACGCATAGAGACCGCACCCCCTTGTGCACCCCTTCTGCTGTCGAGAACATGCCACGCCTGCCGCGCCCTGCGCGCCTGCAGCGCATAGAGACCGCACCCCCTGCGCACCCTCTTGGTGTCGAGAAAGTGCCACGCCTGCCGCGCCCTGCGCGCCTGCAGCGCATAGAAACCGCACCCCCTGCGCACCTTTCTGGTGTCGCGAAAATGCCGCGCCTGCCGTGCCCTGCGCGCCTGCAACGCATAGAGACCGCACCCCCTGTGCACCCCCTCTGGTGTCGAGAAAGTCCCACGCCTGCCGTGCCCTGCGCGCCTGCAACGCATAGAGACCGCACCCCCTGCGCACCCTCCTGGTGTCGAGAAAGAGCCGCGCCTGCCGTGCCCTGCGCGCCTGCAAGGGGTGCACATGGGGTGCGGTCTCTATGCGTTGCAGGCGCGCAGGGCACGGCAGGCGCGGCACTTTCTCGGCACCAGGAGGGTGCGCAGGGGGTGCGGTCTCTATGCGTGGCAGGCGCGCAGGGCTCTGGTGTCGAGAATTCACACGCCTGCCGTGCCCTGCGCGCCTGCAACGCATAGAGACCGCACCCTCTGCGCACCCTCCTGGTGTCAAGAAAATGCTGCGCCTGCCGTGCCCTGCGCGCCTGCAGCGCATTGAGACGGCACCCCATGTGCACCCCCTCTGGTGTCGAGAATTCCCACGCCTGCCGCGCCCTGCGCGCCTGCAACGCATAGAAACCGCACCCCCTGCGCACCCTCCTGGTGCCGAGAAAGTGCCGCGCCTGCCGTGCCCTGCGCGCCTGCAACGCATAGAGACCGCACCCCATGTGCATCCCTCTGGTGTCGAGAATTCCCACGCCTGCCGCGCCCTGCGCGCCTGCAACGCATAGAGACCGCACCCTCTGCGCACCCTCCTGGTGTCGAGAGAGTGCCGCGCCTGCCGTGCCCTGCGCGCCTGCAACGCATAGAGACCGCACCCCCCGCGCACCGCCTCTGTTATGGAGACATTGCCACGCCTGCCGCACCCTGCATTCCTGCGTGCGGCCGCGGTGAGGGACCACCCCCTGCGCACCCCCTAAGCTGAGCTGGGCTGAGCTATGCTGTGCTGCGCTGTTCCGTAGCCATTTTGGCTCAAGCCGTGTTGGCTCAAGGCTCATGGCTGCTATGCTGTAGAGAAGGTTGGATCACATTCTCTGGGGCGGGCAGTGGACCATGTCGTGCAGACCATGACTGGAAATGACATCGTGACCCATCCACGGGACGGCGATGCGGAAGCTTCCGTCCCTCTTGAACCGCATCAGTTGGTCTGTGCAGGCGGGCATGTCGAGGATGATCTGGCAGCTGCGTATTGCAAAGCGGAGTATGCATCAGGCGGTCGGTGCTATTGTTTCTCATTTGGCGGACGTTTTGGCAGTCTTCTCGCAGTGTCTGTCCTGGGCGTGGCCGTTGTTCTCGGCGTGGTAGCTGGCCGCTCGCTCATATCCAGAACCAGTCATTCCAACCCTAGCCTTGGAGTGGCATTGTGCATCGTGGGCCAAATTTCGCGGTTGGAGATTGAGAGCAAGATCCTCAATATAATCGAACCATTGTCAAAGTTAACAAAGGTTGATGTGTTCTTGTCTCTTGAGCTCGGCGGTGACGGGCACTTCTTCAACGCTGCAACATCAGACGTCGAAGTTACCCACTGCCCCGGTTCGGATTTGGACGTGGATGGGGTAAAAGCAGCGTTTGCACCGTATTTTAGAGATGGAGCGTTCGAGAACCATTCGAACGTGACTGTCAACCTAAAGAGGTGGCCGAATCTGTATAAAAATTTGCACAACATGTCAGAAGACACACGGAGGTCAACAATTGCCAACAATTTCGGCCAAATGAAACACTTGAATGATTGCGCAGAGCTTACCAAAAAGAGCGAGGAGGCTTCAGGGGGCAAGCTATACGACATCATAGTAAAGGTCCGCGACGACACCATCGCATTGCGTCCTGTGGTGCCGCAGAAGCTCCTATCAATCAGAGAAGTCACCCTCAAGCATTGCTGTTGGTGGGGTGGCGTCAATGATAAAGTGATGGCGCTCCCGCGCGAGTATCTCGAGAAGAGCTTGGGTACCATATATCATTCCATGCTGACCGTTAATAACGAATTCGAGCACCTCGACTTCTTTCTGCATCACTTGTCGCTGTCCAAAAATACGGAGCAGATTGTGTTGTTCACGCTCACCGGAAATAAGATCCCTTTTCGCGAGAGGACATTCGAGGCAGGGGATCGAGATGGTGACGACTACCTTCCCTTCGTGGACGGCAGGTGCTATGCCAGCGAGACACCTGCAGGCGAGGGGCGCTGGTGCATCGTGTCTCACTGCAAGGATTGCTGGCCGAGCATGCCCTGGACGTACAACGTCACGTGCGAGCTGGCCGTGACTGGCCTGGAGGCGCCAGTGGCTTCTGACCCCAACGCGTCTTTCGAGCAGACGCTCGCAGATCCCGACCCGGAGCGGGCGTGCAAGAGTCCCGTCTACAGATGATGGGCCCGTTGGCTTCTCGGGCTGCCGAGGTGGGCCCGTTTCCCCGTGGCCCTCGCCTGGGCCGGCAGCGGCGGCCCCGCCGCCGGCCAGAGCTGCCAGTCTGCGGCCAGGCCCCGCGCGGGCGGGGCGAACTGGGGGGGGGCAGCTGCTGCACGGAGGCCGCGCGCGTGCTCGGGATCGCGGGGGCCGAGGAGTGCCACTGCCAGCGAGGTGCGCGCGCCGTGAGGGCCATAGCGCCTCTGGCTCGCGTCTGCGGCGGCGAGCGCTGCACATTCCCAGGTGGCGCTGTCGCAAAGACGACACACGGCTGGCAGGGTGTTTCGGTGAACTTGTGCATGTTTGCAAATCTTACCTCGAAGTAGAGCGCTACGGAAAAAAAAAGAGCTATGCTGTGCTGCGCTGTGCTGTGCTGAGCTGAGCTGAGCTGTGCTGTGCTGTGCTGTGCCGTGCTGAGCTGAGCTGAGCTGAGCTGAAATGTGCTGAACAGTGCTGTGAGGAGGAGAGGAAGAGTGAGGTGTGTGTGGGAGTGTCGCGGGTGCGGCGCGGCAAGGAAGAAAACCAGAACCCCACGAAGCATGTGGGGAAAAACACATGTTTTGCATCGACCCTTCCTGAGAGGGCGTCGTTGCTGCATCAGCGCCCCCTGGCTCACCAGAGGGAAGCAAGCAAGCGGGGGAAAGGCTTACAGTCAACGCGCACAGGAAGGATGAGCGACTGTCCAAGGTTACCCTTGCACCCTTCCCCTTCGGCCCCTCCTTGGCCGCTTCCGCTGGCCGTGCCCCGCTCGCAGAGTGTTGACAGAGCCTTCCAAGGCCCCTTCATCCCTATCGTGACGAAAGAACAAACTACACACACCAAGACTCGAAGGGGGGTCGGAAAGAGGAGGACTGGCTATGGGTGTGGGTGCGGGTTGTCGGACCCGTGGAGGGCTCCCGTTCGAGCGGGGACCGCCATCCGACAACACACGCATCCATGGCCCCCTGCGTCCCCCCCTATTGGGTACGTAGGGGTGCTTGTTCTTCGCTCGTCATCTCGCGCGTCCTTCTGTGTACGGGTTTTGACTGCCTGGCTCGGGCCTCCCTGCCCTCTCCCCCGCCCTCCCCCCTCCTTCCTCCGGGGCCCCCCCTTTGCCGCTCCGGCCCGCCAGCCTCCCGAGGTCGATGCTGCGTTCAGCCACGCTCTGGCCGCCGACGCCCAGGAGCCGGGGAGAGGAGCTCGGCGGCGAGCGAAGGGGGAAGCGAGAAGGAGAAGGCCTTCTCAGAAGGCAGCGGGTATTCACAGAAGCCTTCGCGCCCTCTGAGAAGCGTTCCGTGTCTTCGGTGGAGGCTTGAAGACACTTCCCAGGTGCGCATCGGGACTTCCGAGCCTTCTGAGAAGGCCCGCCCCCTCTCACTTCCCCCCCAGGCTCGCCCCCGATAAGTGCATGCCTCGGGGTGGGGTGGGGTTGGGGACTATTCGAACAGTGGCGAAGCGTGCTGGCTTGCATGTAGGCCCGCAATGAGTGTTCTGAAAACCTCTTTTGGCTTACGAGAGGTGCGTTTAGAATGCTGCTGGCTGAGAGTATTGTTTTATCCAGACGGTTGTAGGCTCTAGGAATATTGTTGTTGTAGCGTTCTCTGGCTCTAAGAGCATGTCGTGGTAGGCCTATAGGAATGATGGGACGGTCAGTCTCTGCTCAAACAGAAGTACGTACCCTGGAGAAGGGGCCTCAGGGCCCATCTAGAGCTAAGTCGGGCGTGTCTCTCTACAGGAGGAGTATTCATATATAGCCAAACATATTCTGGGGACGATTGTTTGAGAATGTTTCCGCGTGTCTTGAATATTGTTTGACATTTGTTTACTTTCGTTCCAAATCCGCCAGTAGGAGGACACGCCAGACCTAAATCTAGAGGCACCCAGATGCCCGGTTTTGGTGCACCCACCGTGGCTGGGGCCGCGGCCGTTGAGTCAGCCTCTTGAGACTCCGGAAACAGGTAAGCGCAATTCCTTGGATGCTCTTTGTTCGCGGCCGCACGTGTTCTAAAACAGACGTACTCATTCGCTGTTCGTGAGCGTTTTCTGATTCATTGTTTTGCCGATCGGCGCGGGTTCTCGCCCCCCCCCCTCCCCCCCACGGAGTAGATCTTTGCTGTTTTTGACGCCTGTTTTTGGCAGATGGAGCCTCCCCCATAAGACGCACTGTTGCAAACAGTCGCATCAAGCAGAGGTCAGGAGCCAGACCCCCCCCCTCCCCCCCCTCCCCACTCAGCGCTGAAACGCCGAATAAGAACACGCTCACTTTCCTGGCAGCTCTTTTGTATATCGGTTTCGCCCAGGACTTTTTATTCTTTCTCCGATCCGTTCTGTTTTCCCTTCTGTTGCCATTCGCGGATCCCGAGTGCACCTCGCACCCAGTTCGAGACCATCAGGAAGGCTCGTTTTGGCAAGAAGGTCATCACAGGCCTTCGACTTTAACACCTTCTTGAACACGGTTCGGGGCCAGATTCGCATCATAGCGGTTTTCGAGGTTGGCATCATAGCCGCCGCACCAAGGCCAATCAGTTCATGCTTTTGTTGTTGTTGACTTCATCACGTGCGTGGCATGCTCTCCCCCTGCGTGGGCGAGTGACCCCAGGGCCGCCGCCTTTTCCCAGCAGGCCCACGGACGGTGCTGGCCCCAGGCAGGGCTGAGAGGCCGTAGCCCACCAAAGGCCACCGAGGCCTGAAGACCTCTTCCTGCTGCTCCTCCTGTTGCTCCTCCCCCTCCTCCTCCTCCTCCTCCTCCTCCTCCTCCTCCTCCTCCTCCTCCTCCTCCTCCTCCTCCTCCTCCTCCCATTCGAGACCCCCACCAAATTTCCACCCCGATTGGGGGTGCACCCTTCGAAACCCGAAGGGAACGGCCTATATATCCCCATCCTGGGGCGTAAGTCGGCCGGCGAGGCCCGTGCCGCAGCGACGGGGATGGGGGTCGGATATATAGGAGAAACGTTGGCCACGGGCAACACCACCTCGTGGGCACAGACGCCAACCATCGGAGGTCCGCGCGGGCTCCTGGGATCGCCGCCGACGGCGCCCCCGGCGCCGCCCCTGGCACGCTCCGCGCTTCGGGGAGGGGGGCCCAGCGCCGATCCAGGAGCTCCGCGCCGACGCCCCGAAGCGGATCCGCCCGTGCCGCTCCGGCCTCCCGCCAGCTTCGGCCCACGGGGACCTCCGAAGGCGGAGGCAGCTCCCAGAGATGGGCGGCGGTCCGCCTCGACGTCGGGAGCCAGGGGTTCTGCGGCGTCGCGGCGGGAGGGGAGCCCGGTGCCGCAATTTTGAGCACTCGGCCCTGCGTCTTCGCGAGGAGTCCAGGGCCCTGCAGCGCCACCTCGAGCGCGTCGAGGCCTGGCGCGCCTGGGGGTTTCGCGGACGAGCAAGGACGGCGGCGGCGATGGCGGTGGGGACGGCGGCACCGCCGCCGACGCCGACGGCGTGGCGACGACGACGTTGAGTATGCCGTCGCCCCAGTTAGCGGAGCACCCAGCGAAATGGGCGGACTTCTTGGGAAGACTGCACCATCAGGGGCCGCCCCGGTGCACGAGAGTCGCATGATGAGATTGCAACGTGCCCTTCGAGTTTGGATGTTATGCTCATGAGGTTATTCATGGCATGGCAAATCCGTTCGTGAATTGTAGCCCCCCATGGGCATGAGTATCTCTCCCGACTGGAGATGTGGATGCGGCCTAGGTTGCTCAGCGAATGGACAGGAAGAGAAGCCAACTAAGTCACATAGGAGTGCACAATGGCAAGGATGCTCTAGAACGCCCCACTCTTACTGTATGATGTTCCAACCTACTGTAGCCCTGATCACCAGAAATCAATTCGAGCACCAAGAACGTACCGAAACTGGAGGGTTTTCTCGTGTCGGGCTTTGTGAGGCGATACTCGATCGGCACTGTTTCGATTCTTGTTGGGGTGCTCGAAAATATGTCTGGGATGTGGTCCTTAAGTACGATGGGAGCAACATAACCCCACTCATCAGACCCCCCTCCTGCTCTTGAAGAGCAGGAGGTAAAAATTCGGTGGGTCGGGAAGCTGGGTGCTGCTCCTGCTCTTGAAGGAGCATGAGGTGGGGCTTGGTGTATCCAAACAGCAGCACCTGCTCGTGTGGTGGGTCGGGAACTTTCCCGACCCACCCGACCAGCAGGTCTATGTTACGATTGAGTCAGGCATTTTCAAAGATAGTAAAACATTGCCTGGGGACGATTTGTTACTATTCTGGATTATTTCTTGACCTGTTCAATTTCTCTTTCAAGAACCGCCTGTAGGAGGACATGCTCGACTTGATGTTGCGATCCCCCGAGCTCGGTCTTGGGTCTCCGCCATCTCCTCCTCTTCCGCCCCCAGAGATCCGCTGTCCCGAGGTCCCCAGGAGTCTCGACCCCACTCCTGGGGATCTCTATAGGGCTCCTAGATGGGGTCCGAGTGGATCGGGTCGGAGGATCGAGCCGCATGGACGATGCGGCTCGATGTGGAGCCCCTGTTTCCCCACGCTGACGTCGCCGATGCATCCCCGACGTCGCCGATGTGATGCATCGGTGATGCATCGGCGATGCGGCGCAATCCTTCGACCCTATCTATTCTGACCCCATCGAGGACGCCTCTACTCCCAGGGATCGGCTCTTCATCCTCAGCAGTTTTCCGACGGCCCCACGACCCGGCGAGAGGGCCTCTGGAGGCCGAAAATTGCAAAACACCTCTCTGAAGGCATTGTGTTTCAATGCGCTGGATCTCTAGGCTCTGATGCGGAGAGGGGTGGTGCCATGAGTCGCCCACAGGATAATCCTCCACTGAGGCCGTCTCCAGTCGAGCGCGTTTTCCTCGCCACCAGGGCCGCTTATGCGGGAAACTTGCTCCTGCAGCCACCTAGCTCCAAATCGAGTTTGTCTCTCAGGCGGGGGAAGACGTTGAGTTCTAGAGATGCGATGCCCTGATTTTCTTATCACGCAGTTCCCAGAGTCCCGACCCTTTTCCCTGGACTGGCTTTTCATCCCGTCATGTCTTTACGGTCCCTGGGCCTGGTGAGGGCGTCTGAGAGGCCGACAGCGGCCGAGAGCCTCCGGTCCTGAGGTTCACTCGACGCGAGCACGTCTCGGCCACGCGCAGACGGGGGGTAGGGGGAGGAGGAAAGGCTTCTTAGAAGGAGGCTACTTCTTAGAAGGCACGGGCGTCATCTGTAGACGTAAGGCCCGCGCCTTCTAAGGAGCAGCCTCCTTCTAACAAGCCTCCCCCCCTCCCCCTCCCCCCTGCGCGCGCCGCTAAATGTCTGGGTCCGAGGCGGCGACAGGGGCGCACAGCCCAGGGGCGGGCATTACACGCATTCGCCCGTGTAGTCTCGCCGAAGGCATGGGCCATCTGCGCCCCTGGATACATGTGTTGCTCTCCCCTGAGCTATTCGCCCCCATTCTCGCCCCCGACTGTCACCGCCCACCAAACCACCCCAACCCAACCCGAAGGCTCTGATTTGCCCTCCATTTCCAGTTGGGGGGGGTCGGGGAACATCGAAAAAACACGTATGGAACCTTTACCCCCCCCAACCCGAAATTCGGGTCTTCGGGTTGGGTTCGCCCCCATCCGGTAGTTCTCTACTCTGCTCGGTTCCACCTCCTCCCGGCGGCGGCGGCGGCGAGCTCGCCTCGAGGCCTGCGCGTCCGAGGAGTTCGCGGCCTGCAGCCAGCTGCACGACGAGGTCCGGGAGGGGGAAAGCCTGCATACGCACAAATATCGGCCGCGCGCACCAGCAAGGGCTCCCTCGAGGGCGCGAAGTTATTCGCGCTTCGCGCTTCGCGGTCCTCGTTCCTCCTCCCCCTCCTCCTCGTCCTCCTATTCTCCCTTTGGGAGGGCGGCGCGAGAGCGCGAAGTTATTCGCGCTTCGCGCTTCGCGCAGCGCGAAGCGCGAAGTTGGGAGCCCTAGCACCAGGGGGTAGGGTGAGGGGGGAAGGCTCCTCAGAAGCAGCCTCCTGAGAAGCCTTCCTCCCTCCCCCATACCCCCTTGTGCGCGCCGCCAAGCATGCACGTTCACTCTCGAGGGGATACTGAGACATCTAGGCAACGGGAGGGGACGCGAGAGTCCAGGAAACGTGGAGAACCTGGGAAGTCCTGGGACTCGTGTCGATCCGTTTTTGTGCCACCCTGCGCTCCTTCGGAGGCGCGCGCCGCGCTGCGCTCGGAGGTGGACTGCCTGCGCGCGGAGCTGTGGCATGCGCAGGAGCCTCGGAAGAGGAAAACGTACAGATACGGCCACCCCCTCGAGTCATGGCAGAGTCACGACGGAAGGTTCTTTCCGCTACTTTCGGCCTCTGGGGGGGGCCCTTAGTGGGCCTCGGGGCCGTCAGAAAACGACTCGGGATGATAAACCGGTCCTGGGGAATGGGTCGAGACCTCGGGGGGTCGACGTCATGTTGGGGGTTTGGGGATGACGCTACCCCTACCGTCGTTTCCTCCTTTTTCTGGGGAACGAACGATGACATAAACATAAAAACTCGGAGGTCCGCGCGGATTTCTAGGATCGACGTTGCACACCCCTGGCGGCGCCTCTGGCGCCGCCTCTGGCTCGCTCCGCGCGCCAGGGAAGGGTGTCCAACGCCGATCCGAGAAATCCGCGCGGACCTCCGGGTTTCCATGTTTATGTCATTCTTCGTTCCCCTAACCTTCCTTTCCGCCTTTTCGGGCCTCCTGTCGGGGGAGCGTAAGACCCGGGTTTGCCGGGACTCGGGTTCGCCACCGTTTTTTGACGACCGCGCCTCGGATTTTGACGAGGAGGAGTTTCGTGGGATGTCTGCAGCGGGAGGCCTCGTCAAAATGCAGGCTCGGCCTCGTCATTTTTTTGACGACCTCGTCGGGGATTTCCGAGTCCCCCGTACCCGGGTCTTACGTCTCCCCGATCCTGGGAGGCCCTCCGTATTCGCCTCGGAATTCTGGTCGGAGCGCTCCCCAGGAGGGGTCTTTGGAGCAGCGGTAACGTTCGATGCTCGTTTTGGGGACCTTCCTGGTGCCCACCTAATGGATCTGTTCGACCCAGGTTCGACTCAAGTTCGACTCAGGTTCGACACAGATTCGACTCAGGTTCGACTCAGGTTCGACTCAGGTTCGACTCATGTTCGACTCAGGTTCGACGCAGCTTCGACGCACGAGTGGAGCGAGTGGCTGCAGGAAGGTCCCCAGAATGAGCATCTAAGTAACGGCACCTTATGTGGTTCCCGCAGGAGCAGGCCCGGGCCGAGCTGGCCGAGCAGCGCGAGAGCTCCCAGGCTCGCCTCCGCGCCGTGGGGTTCCACTCCGATCGAGGAGGGAAACCCGCAAATCCAACGTATTGAAGAAATCAAGACGGAGGTTTTCTCAACTTTCGGCCTCCAGCGGCCCTCGCCGGGTCCCGGGACCGTCAAAAAACGACTCAGGATGCAAAAAACAGGTCCTGGGGAATGGGTCGAGACTTCCGGGGACCCCTTCTTGAAAGAATCACGACGTCACATCTTTGGGAAATCGGCACAAACAGATCTGAGGCAGGGTCACGTCGTGTCGACCAGCGACCTGGGTTGTAGGTCAGAGGCTTCTCGGGGCCCTCTCTTGGACCGTCTTGGGGCGTTCGTGGCTGCGAAAAAATCCCGCGGTAAGCGCCAGGGAATCGCGGGAGGCACGCCAGGAACACCAGAAAGTTTGGGAATTTGGGGTCCAGGCCCTGTAATATTCAATCCTGGGGACAGGCGGCTGAGGACCACAATGAAGCTGGGAGCGCTCCAACTCGTGCCTCGCGGCACGGTGGCGGACTCTGGATGGCGAATCAAGTTGGGGTGATTGACTTTACGACGGAGCTGGTCCATCCCCCCGCCCTCCCTCCCCCCTCCTCCTTTTCCTCCTCCTCCTCCTCCTCCTCCTCCTCCTCTTCCTTCCTCCCCCCTCTCCACCCGTTCCGACAGCACGTGCCCAACCCCCCTCCCCCCGCGGATCCAGGGGGGGGGGCGATTACTCTCCCAGCCAGACTGAATTTTCGGAGATCTCCGCGCGGACTTCTTGGGTCGGCGCTGGGCCACCCTGGCAGGCGCCTCCGGCGCCGCCCCCGGCGCGCTCCGGCGCAGCATGGCAGGGGGTTCGAGGCGACGATCCGGGCCATTCTTCACTCGGGCCCGATGCTCTGACGATCCGACTCGGCCGGATGCTCGCGCGGGCGTTGTGGTGCATCTTGGCGCGGCCAGTCCAGTTCGGTGCCTTTGCCGCGCCGACGCAGCCCGATCCCCCCGCTCATGTTCTGAGTTGGTCAGGTTTCCCGAGTGGATGTTGGTTGACCCTGCTCTCCTTCCTTCGCACAGTGCATCCACTCCGCGGACGACCTGTGTGCACCGTAACGTGTTGGCGTCTCCCGAGGCGCCGACGATCCTGGCCCCAGGAAGTTCACGGTGCATATTCTGCACCCCGGGCCCCGCCCTCTCCGGCCGCCTGAAGCCCCGCCCGCCTTTGCCCTGTCTCCCCATTAGAGCTGTGCGTAGCCCGCCTAGCTTTCATCGGAAGAGGTTCGCTCTCGCCCCGCAGACCAAGACAGTGTACGGTGCACAGTTGTGCCCCTCGGATCCGCAAATATTGTGCGCCGTGCCGGCGCTCTCTTCCCTGCGCCGCTCACCGCAGCAATTTTAGACACAAGTTGAGTTGTGGCAGGATCTAAACACCAGTTCACTTTCTGCAGAAGTGTCAGCTTGAATCGAAGAGCCATTGCATAAACAGATCGTCGAGGAACTTGTCTGCTTGAATCGCCGAGGAGCCCCCTTTCCAGACAGGACCCGCAAATGTTGTGCGCCGTGCCACGTTGGGGCGTGGCCTGCAGGGAGTCCAGACACGGCGCGGTGCTCGCGCGCCGCTCTCGTGTTCAGAGTTCGGGGGAAGGGCTGATTTCAGGAGGGGAAAAACCACACAGACACAATTGATCGTCGATCCCCAGGAAAATATGGGAAAATATGGGAATTGGGGGGGAAGACAAAAACCCAGAAAATATGGGAAAATATGGGGACTATTTTTATTTGTGTGTATTTATTTGTGTGTCCTAATTTCCCTTTATAATTAGCTTTAAGTCGTGCCTGTCCCTCTGCAGGAGGAGTATTCAAACATAGTCAAAACATAGTCTGGGGACGATGTTGTTTGAATGCTTGGGCATGTTTTTTGGTCTCGGAAGGGGGCATGCTGCTCGCTGGCTTCTGCCAGGAGGCCAGGCGCACACGACGTGGCCGACCCAGATGGGACAGGTGGACGACCACTTTGTGAACAGGTGCCTTTTCTCCCGCGCTCGGCTCTTTCGGGTGACGGGGTGCACGCATGCCCCCCACACCCAGGCACCTGGTAGATGTGATTGCGAATGGCTTACGGCCAGTGCCGCCGACCCTGGAGGGGACGACGACGACGACGGCGATGACGACGATGCTGACGCTCTGGAGCCGAAAGCTTCTCCCAGGGAAGGCTGCTCCCCTCTGGCGGCGAAGGTTACCACACCCAGGGCCTCCCCGATTTTGTTAGCGTGAGGCCCCAATAATCGAAGAGAAACAAACTGCATGAACATGAACTTTCGGCACTCCGCGCGGAGTTCTAGCATCGGCGCTGGGGCCCGACAGGCGGCGCCTCTGGCGCCGCCCCTGGCGCGCACCGCGCGCCAGAGGGGAATCCAGCGCCAATCCAAGAAATCCGCGCGGACCGCCGAAAGTTTATGATTATGCCGTTGTGTGTCTTCTTCTAAGAAGGGTCCCGACGCCTTTTCACGGCAACGTTGATTTTCCTGTGGCGCGATCGCGTGCCCCAGAGGCCGAGATCGAGAAGCTCAGACGAGCGACGTAGAACAACGGGTTTGACGGCGCCGACGTTCGCGCGTGAGCTGCCCGCGCAAGCTCGCGCGTGAGCGCCCTCGTTTCCAATGTTGCTTGCCACGCTGGTGGCCCGCGTAAGCCACCGCGCAAGGTCGCTGTGCCATCTCGCGCAAAACCCGCTTACTTTCGTCGCTCACTTCGAGACCAGGAGTCGCCTGCACCGCGGCGGCCGCTGCAGGTTCGGGGCAGCACCTGCCATCGGGCGCCGTTCCCACTGGTTCCTTCCCCATTTCGGGCGTGCCGAGCGGCTAAGGGGGTCGCTGCCTCGAGGTCCAAGCTTCTAGGCTCGAGCTGCGATAAGGTTGTCTTGCGCTTTGGAGCCCTGTGAGGGGGCCTCCGGGTGCGTTATACGGTCGGACCGAAGTATAAGGTCGAGGTCGGCTCAGGGAGGGTCTTAGTACCCTAGTTTCGTGTTTGTCGAGTGTGCGTGTGCATCTTGGGGGCGGGTACCCTCGGTGATCTTACGGTTTGGAGTGTTTTGGCCGGCGGAGGGTCCCATGCTCTTGAAGATTGTTATGTTGTCCTTGGTCCGGCTGTGTCGTCGCCACGGCTGGAATCGACCCCGCGCGACCAAGCACAGGCGGGAGTCGGGGGGTATCAGGAGGAGGAAGAGGAGGAGGAGGAGGAGGAGGAGGAGGAGGAGGAAGAGCAGGGAGGAGGGAAGAGGGAGGAGGGAGGACGGAGGAGGGAGGGGGGAGGATGGAGGAGGGCGGAGGGCGGAGGGCGAAGGAGGGAGAAGGGAGGAGGAGGAGGGAGGGAGGAGGAGAGGAGGGAGGGGGAGGAGAGAGGGAAAGAGGGAGGGAGGGAGGGAGGAGGAGGGTGGAGGAGGGAGGAGGGAGGAGGGAGGAGGTAGGAGGGAGGAGTGAGGAGGGAGGAGGGAGAAGGAGCCGAATTTCGTGAGGACGTCAAGCCAGAGCTCTGGGAACCCCAGCAGGGCGCACTGGAGCTGGTGGAGTTCTACCTCGCGAGCCGCCGCTCGCAGGAGAGCGCCGCGGCCGGCGGCAGCCCCGGCGGCGCCGCCGAGCCCAGGCCCGCTGGCCGATCGCCCGGCCCGGAGCCGGGTTGGCCCGGAGGCGTCGGGCGTTGCGTATAACAGGGGGGCGACCAATGGTCGAAGAAGACACGCGACAAATCATTAACTGCTGCCGCTCCGCACAGAATTCTTGGATCCGCGCTGGGCCCCCCAAGCGGCGCCTCCGGCGCCGCCACTGGCGCGCTCCGCGCGCCGCAGATCCAAGAAATCCGCGCGCAGCGCCAAAAGTTAATGTTTCTGGTTTGTTGTCTTCTTCTAAGAGGGGCGACCACTGGAGGGGGGAAGCATTGCAGGGTGCTCTTCGTGTCCGCGTCAGGGGGGTCCCCTGGGACCCAAAGGGTGCACGCTTCTTCGCCCCGCTGCTTTTATCGCCCACCACCCAGACGTCCGACGTCTTGGGCTTCTCAAGACGGGCTCCCCCAGAGTTCTGATCCCTTTCCCCGGGGCCAGTTCTTCAGCCTGAGTCGTTTTTTGACTGTCCAGAGGCCCGCGAGGGCCCCTAGAGGCTGAGAGTCGCGAAAAACGTTTCTCCTCCTCCTGCTGCTGCTCCTCCTGCTGCTCCTCGGCCTCCTTCTCCTCCTTCTCCTCCTCCTCCTCCTCCTCGTCCTCCTCCTCCTCCTCCTCCTCCTCCTCCTAGTCCTCGTCCTCCTCCTCCTCCTCCTCCTCCTCCTCCTCCTCCTCTTCCTCCTCCTCCTCCTCTTCCTCCTCCTCCTCCTCCTCCTCCTCGTAGTTGGCATCTTGGCTCAAGCTTCGCCTCGATGGGTCGGCCCGCCTTCCCGCTGTGTCGCTGCCGACGACGGACGCCCGCGCTGCTGCGACGCTGCGACGCTGGAGGCCGCGCGGGGCGCGGTTCTGGCGGTGCACGCGGCTGCCGGGCTCGCCAGCGGCGCTGGGCTCCGAGATGCTGCGCGTCTCGCCCGCGCCGCTGGAGGTCTGCTGCGCACGGCGGTGGCCGTGTTGGCCAAGCCCTCCACATCTGCGCCCGCGGCGGCGCCGCCAGCGGAGCCCGCGGTTGTCGCTCGGAGGCGGCGGTGTCGGCCTCGCGGCCGCGGCGGAGCGACGGGAGCGGCTGGGGTGGCCATGCACGGCCTCGGCGCCGGCGGCATGATGACGGAGGCTGGGACGGCGGGAGGCGCGGCGCAGGCGGCGGCCGTGTTGCCCGTGCCGACGCTTGAGGACGCCATCGACGACGCCTGGGCCGACGAGCCCCCCGTGGTGGTGCAGCCGCCGCGGACGGCCGCTCGCGGCCCGCCCTCCAGCGCGGGCCGAGGCAAGTGCGAGGACATCGGCAAGGGCAAGGACGACCTGCTCCGCTCCGCGCGAGCGCGTGTCGCCTCCCTCCGCGGGAGCCTCGGCCTGCCAGCCGACTGGGGCTCGACCCCCACCAGCCCCGACGGGATCGAGGCGGTCTTCGAGGAGCTCTGCCGCCGCGCGGAGGAGGTGGTCGAGCCGCCGAGCGAGGGCCAGGGGCCCGCGCTCCTGGGCGGCGCGTGGGGGCGGCCGTCGGGGACGGTAGCCCTCCCGCGCAGCGCGGTGCTCGACTTCGGCGCGCACCTCGGCTCCCTCCTTGTCGCCCCTGGCGTGGAGGGCCTCCAGGCCGAGCTCGTCTGAGTTCCTGCCCGCTGGACGGGCTCGTCGTCTCCCAGGGCGTGCCCCTGCTGCGGCGGGCGGGCGCGCGGGGGGCGACGAGTCCGCCCAGCTGCTTCTCTCTTCTGGAGCTGTATACGTGAGCGGACGCTGCCTCTTGAGCTCGTTCCTCGTCCCTCCTCCTCCTCGTCCTCCTCCTCCTCCTCTTCGTCCCCCTCCCCCTCCCCCTCCTTCCTGGCGGCCCCCCAGCTCGGGGCACGGCGGGGGCCTCCAGGGCCATGAGAGTCTCGAGACGCCGGAGGAGGAGGAGGAGGAGGCGGAGGAGGAGGAGGACGAAGAGGAGGAGGAGGAGGAGGAGGAGGAGAAGGGGGAAGGGGAGGAGGAGGAGGAGGAGGAGGAGGAGGAGGAGGAGGAGGAGGAGGTCTGGGCATTCATTGAGCAACGCCCAGAAAAGGCGGCATGCCGCCGACCGCCGGGCTGAGACCCAGCCCGGCCGGCGGCCCCGCTGGCGGCGAGCCGAGGCTCCGACGAAGAAGCGCCAGCACGAGCAGGGAAATTCCCGAGGTTCAACGCATGGGTTTCGGCCTCCCAGGTGGGATCGGAGCAGATTGGGTTGGAGGATATCGCGCCGCATCGCCGACGCATCGGCGATGCATCAGCGATGCGGCTCGATGTGGGGCCCAGCTTTGCCCACACCGACGTCGCCGATGCATCGGCGACGTCGCCAGCGCATGGCCGATGCATCGGCGATGCATCGCTGATGTATCGGCGATGCGGCGAGGTTCTCCTACAGTTGGGGCGCTGAAGAAGGAACCCGTTTCGTTGGGGAGGGGCTCGGTGTTCCTTGATTGTTCTACAGCTTGCCTTAGGTTTCCATGAGGTTTCCAATGGGAGATCGACGTGCAACTTCTGGGAAAAAGGGGGCCTCGTTCCTTATTCAGGATTCCTTAGGTCAACGCCCCGACTGTACCCCATGTACTTGGACCCCAGCTGGAAGGCCTCGAGTGTAGAAGCCGAGACTCACCTGGGCTTCCTTTCTCTTTTTTCTCGCCGCGGGCGAGCTCGCACGGCCTCGGGCCCTGGGGCCCTCGCAGCTCGGTCCAGCTCGGGAAAGGACGCAGAACGACTGGGTCTGGGCCAGGAGTAGAAAAGCACACAGACACAACTCATCGTCGATTCTCCAGGCAGTATGGGAACATAGGGGCAGTGGGGGGGAAGACGGGAACCCAGAACATATGAGAAAATATGGGGAATCTTTTTATTTGTGTGTATCTATTTTTGTGTCCCAGGGCCCCTTCATCTGGGTCTGGGGCTCCGGGCGTGACTTGTCGCGATGTCCCATGTTATTTTGCAGCGTCGGATGTCAGGAGACGCGGGGGGATGCTGCGCCGTGCTTGGCCTCCGGGGGCCCTCGCTGGGCCCCTGGGCCGTCGGACAGCGGTTCGGGACGACGAGCCGGTCCGCAGGAGTGGGCCGAGACTTCCGAGCAGTGGCGCGCCGTCCAGGCTTGCCTATAGGCCCACCAACAAATGTTCTGATAACCGCTTGTGGTTTGCACGAAATGTTCGTAGAACATTTCTGGCCGGGGCTGTCTTGATTTAGTCAACACATCGGTTGCGCGTTCTAAGAGCACTAGAACTGTTCTTGTTTTTTCTATACAGACATGTTGGGGTTCTGGGAGCATTTCGCGGTAGGCCTGTAGGAATGCCTTGGACGGTCGGTCCCTGTTCAAGATTTCCTGGGACCCTGGGCCCCGTATTGAAAGAATGGAGACGTCGGATCTTTGGTCACTTTCTGAGGTCTCCGTGCGCGGACTCCTTTGGTCGGCACCGGGCCTCCGTGGCGCCGCCCCTGGCGCGCATGCCGTGAGCCACGACGGGGCTTCCAGGGGGCCGATATCTGCAGGGATTCCGCGCGGACCATAGCTCGGTGGCTCGAAGATTCGGGCGATCGCTGAACTGGAGCAAGGGGACGTGGATTGGCGACGGGTCCCGTTTCCCTAGGGAATCGCGGATTTCCGCCGCCGACCTGAGGCGGCACCAACCGCATCTGGGGGAGGGCACCCCCGATCCCTGGATTTGGCGACCGCGTGCCAAATCCGTGGGTCGCTGATCCATGTTTGCGCGCCCCCGAAAGATGGGGCCCTGAGATCAGACGCCCTCTCAGGATCTGAAAGGGTCACCGCACGGTTTTGGGATTCGGATCGTTCTTCGAGGGCGTCTCGGCGGACTGGGGCCTCCAGTGTCCTAAGGTCGTGCGGGGACGGACCGCGCGTCGAGAACGTTGGGGAGTTCGAGGTCACCGCGCGGTCTGTCATCCAACGGTGTCTGGACCCCAGTACCCAGACCCCGCCGTCATGATCATGAAGTAGGCCCAGGGGTCGAGACCCGGAGGAGGAGGAGAAGGAGGAGGAGGAGGAGGAGGAGGAGGAGGAGGAGGAGGAGGAGGAGGAGGGAGGAGGAGGAGGGAGGGAGGAGGAGGAGGAGGAGGAGGAGGAGGAGAAGGAAGGAGGAGAGGGGGGGAGGAGAATCGAGGAGGAGGAGTGAGGGCAGGAGGAGGAGGAGGAGGAGTCGTCTTGGAGGCCTCTTGGGCCATCTTGGGGCCATCTTGGACGTCTTTGAACGATCATTCGGCGATCCGGGGCCCTCTTGGACCGTCGGGGGTGCGTCGCGGGGCCCTCTTGGCCTGTCTTCGGGCCCTCGCGGGCCTGGAACATTTATGCGAGAACACTTCCCCGAGCCCAGGGGGCTCGCGACAAGCCTCAGAAGATTTCGGAATTTGTGGCATGGGCCCCTTGAAGACTCTTCAGGACTGAGGTCCTCGTGACCCGAAGGGGGATCCAGTAGAAAGGGGGTGGTGCAGTAGATCTGGGGCAATCGTACTGCAGCTGTTTTGCGCCAGAGAATTGGATTGCATTGTATTGCAAATAATTTCTTGCACGCGAAAATCCAGCAATACATTCGCGCACTCGAATGCGTTGCACACCCCAAACCTGCTGCACCTCCACAAATCTATTGCACCAAATCTATTGCGCCCCCCCTTTTCGCTGGACCCCCTTTTGGGTCAACGTGGTGAGGACTGAGGCTCCAGGGATTTGGCAAAGGACCTGAGGACACGCCCACCCCCTGCCCAGATGCACGGTGGCGGATTCTACGCACACGCAGGGTATTTCTGTTGTAGGCCAGGGCGAGGGCAGTACAGATTGGAAAAGGTAGCCATGAGGAAGGAGTTCACGGTGAGCGAGTAGTAATGATAATGATGCGCAGTCTAGCGAGATGTTATTGTCGGGCAGTGCTGAAAGAGGTGAACACAGAGGTTTTTTTTCTGTTGGGCACACGGCGCTCTGAGCCATCGGTTTTGCAAGGTACATATGTGAAGCGCATGCCGGCTCAAACGGCAATGCATCCAACACACCTTGGCTTCATCTTGTTATTGAATCGCTTCGCTCATTCCGCCGGCCCGTGAAATGGCATCGCTGGTTTTTGTCTGTGTGTTCGTTGCCCATGTTGCGCTCTTGGGGGCGGGTGTCGTTCGGACGCGTTGCGTGGGGAGTTTTGATGGTGAAGCAGTTCCCTGGGGGTCGTCTCTCGATGGGGCGAAATAGAGTCGTCGTCAAGATGCTTCTTTGGGGGGCCTCTTGGGGTCTGTTGAGAGGCCGTTCGGGGGCGCCTGGGAGACATGTTTGAAGCCTTCTGGGGCTTCTTTTGGGCCTCCTGGGAGTCTCCTGGGGCCTCTTGGCGACATCTTGGGGCCTCTTGGAGGCCTCTTGGGGCCTCTTTGGGACCTCCTGGGCGCCTTCTGGGACGGAGGGCTCCATTTTTGAGTTCTCGGTATCCCTCCTGAGTCCCTCTTGGGCCCGTCTTGGGGCCTCTTGGTCCGTCTTGGGCGGCACTTGGGCCGTCTTGAGGGCTCTCTTGGGTCGTTTCGGCGCCGTCTTGGGAGCTTCGTGGGCCGTCTTGGAGCGGTCTTGGGGGCCTCTTGGGCCGTCTTGGAGCGTCCGGAAGCCGAAAAAGCCAGAACACAAAAAACATAGAAAAAACCAATGAAAATCAACGATTTTGGCCTCTTGGGGCTCTCTTCGGAGGCCTCTTGGAAGGCTCTTGGGGCGTCTTGGAGGCCTCTTGGGCTGTCTTGGGGGCCTTTTGGGCCGTCTTGGGGTCATCTTCGGCGTCTTCGAGCGCTCTTTGGGCGTCTCGGGGGCCTCTTGGGCAGTCTTGGGGGCCTCTTGGGGCACTCTGAGCGCGCTCTGGGGAGCCTGAGAGGCCGCACCCAGAAGGAAAACCATCTCTGAGTAGACTTGGTCGGGCGGCGGTCGGGCGGCGGTCGGGCGTTGGTCGGGGTACTTTTCGCCGGGGGACCCCCAGGGGCCGCCCCGCGCGCGCGAACTAGAAATACTGTTAATACTGTTAACCAGTTACCGGAGATCTTAGCACGCCCTGGCCCGTTGGGCCGGCGAATTATCGCTTTGACATTCATCAAGAACGTCATGCTGAATCAAGTTGTTCTGAAGCATGCGCTTCCTAGTCCTGTACCCATCATGCTGGACAGGGTGCAGCCGGCGCATTCTAACTTCCGGGCGAGCCTGATCGTCTGTTGTTCCTGGGCGAGGGCCCCAAGCTTGGGGATCCCGTCATGGGGCTCCTCTTCGTTATGGGATGAGCTTCGGGGCTTGACAACTATGCCCAGCAGGAGTGCCAGCTCGTGAAGGCAGTTTCTCCTTCCACGGGGCGACCACAGCAGGCTGCGATGACCGTGTTTGTAGATGACGTGGCCGACGCGTTTCGGTTTCGTGAAAGATTTCAGGCACAAGGCCGAAACAAACAAACAAAACGAACGTATCACAGAGTTGTTGGGGGAGATGGGGATGACCCAAAACATAAGGAATGAGGAGGCCGTACCGTATTGCTGCGGCATGGGAGGGCTTTCGTTCGAGAGGGTTTTTATGATGGGCACAGTATTCCAGGGACACCGTTGCGGCGGCCAGATACCGAGGGGCGCGTATCACAGTTCTTTTCTCTTGCTTCGTGGATTGAGGAAACTGAAAAATATGTGCGGGGTAGGCGGCTTGGGGCAGATGGTTAATGTCTGGACGGCTAGGTTTAGCAGGAATGTGTCAACCTTGCTTTTCACGGGGTTCGTGACGAAAGCCATTCTCACGGGATACGAAATGTTTGCCAATCGTGACGGGCCGATGAAAGTGCAGGACGTTCAGGGGCTCCATTCTTGGCCAAACGAAGGCGCGTGGTCCTTAGGGGCGTTGTTAAACGCAGGGAGGACGACTCCATCAGATCGTTCACGAGCCTTGAGGTTTTTGTGAGGTTAGGTACGGCGAGTCGAGGCACGTATGCGAAGGCTCGAACGGCTATAACACGTCCATACTGAACCCCGTGTAGCTGGACAAGTCTTGGGCGTGGCCTTTCGGAGTTTGCAGGTTGAGGCTTGTCTCAGCCCGGCGGTCACCGCCGAGAATTGGAAGCAAGGGAGCCCGCGGGTCCAGCAGTGGCTCCAGGACGCCTTTGGCGCTCCAGGTCTTTGGTGACGGGGATGTGTTTCTTGGTTTGCTTGAGGGCCATCCGGGTCGAACGATCGCCGAGGCGAGAGGACTCTCTCAAGCTCGACATGTTGGGCTTACGTGCACACTTCATGCGAAATGGGCTTGAATGCGAGCCCGACCGACCCGAACAGCTTGAGGGAGGTGAGTACTACTGTTGGGCAGAGGACGAGGAGGGCAACCCGTGCCAGGCACACTTTGCAGACCCAGGTATGTTGGTTGCTCACTATGTGCGCGCACGAGGCGGGTCCCATGGGCGGTAAGTTCTTTGTTTTGAGCATGGTATTCAAGCAATGAATACAATGTGTTTTTTCAGTATGTGCAGGCGCACAAGAATACGATGTTGGCCTATACTCGTGGTGTGTGCGTGTTGACCGTAGCAGATCGTGCAATGAGATTCGCATGCATGCGACGAAATGCCGACTGGGCGAGTTTGCCGCCGATAAGCTCAAAATTTTGGGACAGCGCCGCTCCCGATCGGCATGTTTCAAAGCTCTTGGACTCTCGCGAGATTGAGCTTGATGTCGCGGCTGATGCGCAGCGCCACGGCGACGATGGGCGAAAAGGACACCAAACGCGGCCATTACCAAGAGAGTGACGACGTAGTGATCAAGAATGGACGGTGCAGCTCAAGGCGCGAATGCACAGCCAGGAGCACTTCACGACGATTGAGGCCCATCTTCCTGTCGACCATCCTCGCGTCGCCAGCTGCCAGGCGCTGGTGAAAAAGGAAGGCCCGCAGCACCTGTTTGAGGCCGCCAGAGCTTTAACTGTTTTCGTTGACTCTTCAAGATATATAGAGAACTGTTTGAGCGATGATGGTTCGGCCGACATGCAGAAACATCGGTGGCTTCTGAGCATGGCAGCAGCGAGAACGCGAGCAAATTCATCAAGGACTTTCTCTACGTTGCCACCGATGTTCGACGCCAAGAAAGTATGACTGAAGATGGGTTTGCGGGGCGTCGTGCTGGCGGAGACCAGCGTCAAAGCCTCGGAGGTCGTCGACAAGTTCCAGGCGGAGACGCGGGAGGGCGCGCCAACAGACGAGACGCACGAACGGATTGTGCAGCGCACGCCCCTCGAGCTGCCTCCGCCCCAAAAAGGGCGCGAAGGCAGCGGAGCTCACGCACGCAGTCAGCATCGCACCCCGCGCGCGGGGCGGCACCACGTCGGCCGCGCTCCGCGGGGGCCCATAGGCCGAGCAGGTCCGCGGCAACCAGGTAGGAGGATGGGGGCCCCGCCCCGCGACCCGTGCGAGCCGCCAGCGGGCGAGGGCTGGGCTTCTCCTGGAGGGGGGTTTGATGGGCTTGGCTTCCACCACCACTACCATAGGTTGGAGGGAGAGGTCCTCCTCCTCCTCCTCTTCGTTCTCCTCCTCCTCCTTCTCCAACATATGGTGGTGGTGGTGGAAGTCAGTCCCATCAGGGTCAGTTTCGCGTTCATCCTCCGCTCCAAGCTTGCTGCGCTGAGCGCAACAGCCCCGTGTGAAAGTTTGTCCGCGGCCTTGCGCGGGGGCTCCGGCGCTTGGTCCCCGGCCGCGGACAGGATTCATCGTGGCGCTTTTGCGTTCCATTTCTTGGAGGCCCCGCGGCCGCCTTCGAGCGGCGGTCCGCCCCTGCGCGTTCGGCCACTGCGAGGGCATGCGCGATGTTGTATCCTTTTGGGGGAACGCCTGGTTTTCGCGAGGTGAGATGCCCAGCGTCGAGGATCGGAGAGCTGCGTGTGGTGTGAATGGGGCCGTAAGGAGGGAGGAGGAGAGGGTGGAGTGGGTGAGGGAGGAGGAGGAGGAGGAGGAGGAGGAGGAGGAGGAGGAGGAGGAGGAGGAGGAGGAGGGGACGGGGGCGGGGAACGAGGATAGAAGGGAAAGCAGGGACGAGGAGGGGAGGAGGAGGAGGAGGAGGAGGAGGAGGGGGGTTATGTTTCCATGAGTCGTTTTGATCTCATCCCGGGGTCGGGTTTTTCATCCTGAGGCGTTTTGCGACGGCCCCGGCGCCTAGCGAAAGCTTCCAAAGGCATCGCGGTTGTCGTCACGACGCGAGGAGTCTGGATGCACGGTTGCATTTTCCGAGACCCTCGACCCCCAGAGTCGGATCGGACGAAGGGGGGGGATAGGGAAAGGGGGGTTACGATAACTGTTGCGCGCGGGTGGTCTGACTGGGCCGCACAAGTCTGTTGCGGCCTCCCCCTCTGAGTGCCATTGTGTCCCCATCATCCCTCCACTCTCCAATTGTCACCCCGCACACCTTCCACCCTCCTCCCACCTCCCCCATATGCCCTTCCCCCTTATCCCAACCGGGACGTTTTGGGCACGAGCGTGCGCAGCGCGCGCTCGGTGCCGTGATTGGGCGATATGTTGCATCCACCTGGAGTTTGCCGGCGCCGAAGTGGGTACAGTAAAACACCACAGGAAATCAGCTACAGGAGCTGCTTCCGGGCCTCCCATATATTCAAATCTACGTGTGTTGAGTTTCCTGTTGTGTTACGGCGGGGTAGGTGTCAAGTCTCACTAGCTGGATCGCCAGACTAGCTGCATGTAGCTAATTTGGCGCGAAGCTATCTGTATGTAGCTAGTTCCGCGCTGTACTAGCTGCATGCAGTTCGCTTGCCGTGCGACCAGCTCTGTGGTGGTGGCTTCGCCGTCGGCGGACCGACGGCGTGTGCTCGGATCCCGGGTGATGCCGCTCCAGTGCTCCCAGCAGTTACGCAGTTTCCAACGTCCACCTCATGTCAGCTAATTCCCAAACCTGCCCCTTACAACCCCCGTTTCGTCTTGCCCGACAGAGGTCTCGACCCATTCCCTGGGACCAGTTTCTTAACCCGAGTCGCGTCTTGACGGTCCTTAGGCCCGGAAACGGCAGTGCAGATTCGAACATTTCTGCCCGGGCCAACGCTTCTCCTTTGCGAGGTCCGCAGCCGCCCAGGATCGGCAGATGGAACGATCTGGCGATCGATGTGTTGCCGATCGTTGAAGGTAACCGATCCACCTGGTGGCAGAAACCAACACGGGGGCCGTCTCGACATGAACTTGCCGTACAGGGCTCCATCTCTGAAGTGCCGATTTGGGGTCATTTCTGAGACCTCTTGGTGTAACGAGGTTGTTCTTGCTGAGTCTATTACTTGTACGTGTTGTGCGTGTGTGTGTGTTTGTGTGTGTGTGTGTGTTTGTGTGTGTGTGTTTGTGTGTGTTGTGCGTGTGTGTGTGTGTGCGTGTGTGTGTGTGTGCGTGCGTGTGTGTGTGTGTGTGTGTGTGTGTGTGTGTGTGCGTGTGTGTTTGACTGTTGCCGAACTTTGCCTCTGCGAGGCCCGCGGCCGCCCGGTCGCTGTGGGCCGGCCCGGAGCCGGGCTGGCCCGTGGGCGGGGGCGCGCCAGTTGCCGGGCTGAGGCCAGGCCCTGCGAGCAGCCCAGGATCGGGGGGGGGGTCAAGTGCGCAGCTGGCACGGGGGTCGAGCGCAACTGTGCCTCCGCCTCCGCTTCCCTCCTCCTCTTGCTCCTCCTCTTTCTCCCCCCCCTTCCCTCCTCCTCCTCCTCCTCCTCCTCCTCCTCCTCCTCCTCCTCCCCTCCTCCTCCTCCTCTTCCTCCCCTCCTCCTCCGTTGCCGTTTTGGCTCAAGTGCTGGGGCGCTTGGGTGGGCAGCCTCTCTTGAAGGGGCCTTCTTGGGGTCGCTCCCGAGTGGACACACAGTTTCTCTCTGGCATAGCGTGCGCTGCTCTTTCGCCCGTGGTCCTGCAGGACAGCGGTGGAGTCCTCTCCCTCCTGGTCGCTCATCCACGTGCCGATCTTCAGTCCATTGTCGCCAAGTTCAACGAGATGGACGAGAAGTTTGACTCCCAGATCGCCCAGCTGCGACTGGAACAGCAGAAGATGAAGGTTTCGGTGGAAGATGAGCGCCTCTTGTGCCTGCGTTCCGTCCATACCATGCCGCTCGACGTGGACTGCATGTCGCAAGAGCTGCGACCCATTCCGTCCCAGCTGGCCACCGCCGCCCAGCTGGACACCAAGCTGATCACCATGGAGAGCACGCTCATGAAGCGGATCGCCTCTAATGCTGGGTATTTTTGCTCCGCTGTCAGTGCAAATAGTGTGGAGGTGGTTGGAACAGACCCCTGGAGCCGCTTCCTGGGCCCCAGGGGGTGCAGGAATTCCAGGCATGCTCCGACGCGAGCACGTGCTAGGTCCGAGCGTCGTTGTCGCTTTCCTTTTTCGAGACGGCTGTGAAGTGCTTGACCGCTGCAAGGTCTGGATTCGGGGACTCACCAGGAAGCTGCTGAGCTATGTCTTCGTCAACCACTGCGAGCTTCTCAAGACAGCTGCCGCTTCGTTGTGAGACGGTGCTGTCCCTCGGCGCCAAAGCTACAGGTACTGTTACTACATCCGCTTCCAGTCCGTGGAGGCTGCCAAGGCGTTCCTCAGCTGGGGCAAGGATACAGAAGCGGCTGTCCACCTGGAAGGATCCTAAGAATGACGCAGACGTGCCACTTCGAGTTGGATGCGGTCAACCTTGCAATATAAGGCAGAAGTTTCGCGCTTGGCGGATGCTGGGAGATGATGCGTGCCATCTTTGGCGAGCATGGCATGTAGAACGAGTCCTTTCGTCTTGGCCCCAACCCGCACACTGGCACGCTCCACTCGACCTGCGCTGATGATGAGGAGATCTTCGATCTGGTCAAGCTGCCCCCTGGGGCACACGCTGAAGGTGGCGAGGACGCCTTCATGATCGTGGTGGTGCCAGACGCCAAGATGTTCGAGATGCCCGAGGCCGTGCTGAACGCGTCCCCTGAGCTTGTCTTGAGCAAGCTCGACAAGAAAACGTCCTGACGGCCCCGTTCAACCGAGCTGGATACTCCTGAAGGGCACGGGCAGTGTCTTCAATATGGTCCTCCTCCTGTCCTGGCCAGCGTCGCCGCTGCTCGACAAAAGAGGGGCGTCCTCTCCCCGTCACGTGTGGCGCGTTCCTCCTCGTCCAGTTCGTGCTCTACTTCTGGGTCGTCTGAGAATACTGAGGTTGGTAGGTGGCCTCGCATTCAGTATGGCGCGAGGAAGTATGTTTCCTCCCCGTTGTTTTTTCCTGCTGTTCTGCCCTTTCGCCGTGTCTTCCATCCGCCTTTGCACATGTCAGGTAATATATCGGTTGCAGGTTGGAAGTATTTTGCTTTTTTGTTGGAAGCACGCGTGGTAGACGCCCCCATCAGTGTAAGACACGACCTCGCTGCTTCAGATAAGGAGTATCTTATTTTGTGCCTAACTCATTTCCGTTTACAATGATTGGTCTCTGTCTTGCAGGTTCCATCAGGGTACCGCTTATTGTTTATTCAGGTGCTGTGTTCCCGGCGGCTGTAATTCATGGTTCTGTAGGTGCGACCTCTAGCTTGCTGCATGCTGGGGGGGAGATGTGGGCCCGAGGGGTTCCAGAGTCTCCTGACTGCAGTGTTCGTGTTCTCGCGAGGCGCAGCTGCAAAGTGCGCGTGCTGCCCGCGAGGTGCCCGACGGAAACGTGGCCAATTACAGGCCCGGAAAGGGTGCCTCTTGCCCTTGTATCGTCCCTTTCTTGTCCGCCTGCCCTCTTCTCGCCCCTTTCATCGGAGGGTCGTCTCCTCCCCTCCTCCTCCTCCTCCTCCTCCTCCTCCTCCTCCTCCTCCTCCTCCTCCTCCTCCTCCTCCTATTCCTCTTCTTCCTTGTTGTCGTTGATGTTGCCGCGGGCGGATCCCCAGACGGCGCGGTGACCACGCCGCCGACGACGACGAGACGACGACGCCGCCGGGCCCCCGAACTCGGAAGATCGCGCCGCGTCGCCGATGCGACTCGACGTGGCTCCACGCCGACGGCGCCGATGCATCGCCGACGGGGATCATATTGTACAGCTGGCTTGGAGCCGGCTGGAAGTCTGGGGTGGCCCAGCACTGGTCCCTGCCAGCCGGAAAGGGGGGGCGAGGGTCGACGTTCTGGGTTCGAGCAGGGTGTTTGCCTTGTTCCGTCTCGTGGGGGCCGCATTTCGGGCCCCAGCACCGCCAGAAACGGATCCGGGGGGGAAAAGTACGCCAGATGGACCCCGGGAGTGGCCTACAGCCGAGCAGGCCCCAAAGCAGAGTCCCGCCAAGCAGCGGGCGGGAGGCCGACCGAAGCTGAGCGGACTGATTTTGAGCGGAGGCGCCGTCATCCCCCCCGTCTTGGCCGATTTTCTCGGGGCCCGTCGGACCCCTTGGCCGCTTCCAGCAGCCAGCACGAGGGTTAGGAACAGCCCCGGCCTTCGCAGGGTACGCAGCCTCACGTTCTTGCGCATGCTTCCCAGCGAGGACCTTCGAGAGGAGCATCTTGGGTCATCCTTGCGAGAAGAGGCTTGCACGAGACCGAAATATGCACGTGGAGTGGACGTCCGAGCGATGGCGAGGCTCGGACCTTCGAAGGGTACGTACCCTTTTCTGCTCTTCGCGCCGAGGCTCTCTCCGCCTCGGAGTGGTGCTCGTTTGGGGTGCCTGCATGAAGCCTCAGGCCTTCGGCGGAGGGGCGCGCGTTCTCGGTCTGCGCTCCTATGGCCATGGTTTAAGTCGGGCACGCCCCTTCTACAGGAAGAATGTTCAAAAATAGTCCAAGCATAGTCTGGGTAGGATGTTTCTACTACTTTGGAGTATTTTTGAATGTGTTCTGACTATTCTCTGAGTTTCGCCCAAAGTTCGCCTGTAGGAGGACATGCCCGACCTAAGCCATGTTCCGACTGTACACCTACTTTCTGATATGGGCGTTGCAAGCAAACATCACGACGGTTGGGCTTTCTATTCTTGGCCTCCTTGATGGGGTCATAACTCCTGGGATCGGAGTGTCGCGTCGCATCGTCGATGCATCGGCGATGCGGCTCGATGTAGAGCCCGATTTTCTCCACGCCGACGTCGCCAATGCACCGCCGATGCATCGGTGATGCGTCGACGAGGCGGCGCGATTCTCCGACCCTAACTACTTGGACCCCGTCCAGGAGGGCTCCATCTATGTCTCAGGCCTGCCGAGGCCGTTTCCTCAGCCCCAGAAGCGTCAAGCAGCGATTACTCGAGCAGAGCATTTCAATAGCAGCAGAGGTGAGGAGGCTGGTCAGGGAGTAGGAGGTCGGCTAGTGAAAACGTGCCGCCTGAGGCTCCGCCTTCCTGTGCCCTGTCTCCCTGATTAAAGCTGTGCGTAGCCCGCCTAGCTTTTAGCGGAAGAGGTTTGCTCTCGCTCCGCAGATCAAAAAAGTGTTCCTGGAGATCCCTAGGAACGTTGACAGACAGGGCAGGGGTGAGGGCACGGCCGCACCTTAGTGTATTGCTTGCAAGGGCCTGTGGGTGTCCAGAGCAAGACTGCAGCCAGCATTCAGGCGAGAGCACGATTTCTGAATAATCTGCGTGGACTCGGGCAAAAAAACAACTGCCAGACCAAACGGTCTCGGTGGGCCGTCTCGAGCTCCCCGTCCCCCTTGTAGGACTCTTCTGTGGTCTCTTTGACTCCTACTGGAACCCTCCAGCGAAACGCTATTATGGAAAAATCGCAGTGACGGCGGCTGCTTCTATGTCTTAATCTTGCCGAGGCCGTCTCCAAGCCCCAGAACCGTCAGGCAACGATTCGGGATAAAAAAAGGGCCGGTCCCCGGGAGGAGGTCGACATTTGCGGGGCCCCTGTCCCGATCAAAAGGTCGTCGCCGGAGGAGGGGGTACGCGGATCTTGGCAAGGCCCACCCGTGGGCCAAGGGTCGGTGTGCATGCCGCCCTGGCCAGGCCAGGAGGGCGTGTGCCACCGATCTTGGGCCCACGGATGGGCCTCCTCCTCCCTCCTCCTCCTCCTCCTCCTCCTCCTCCTCTTCCTCCCAGCCTCCCTCCTCCTCCTCCTCCTCCTGCTCCTCCTCATCCTCCCCTCGTCCTCCTCCTCCTCCTCCTCCTCCTCCTCCTCCTCCTCCTCCTCCTCCTCTCCTCCTCCTCTCCTCCCTCCTCCTCCTCTCTCCTCCTCCTCCTCCTCCTCCTCCCCTCCTCCTCCTCCTCCTCCTCCTCCTCCTCCTCTCCGTCTCCTCCTCCTCCTGTTGCACGCGCCCTCCTGCAGGAGGCTCCGAGCTGGGGCCGGCCGCCGGCCGGAAGCCCGCGGCGGGCCCAGGCCTAGGTTGGCCCGGGAGCGGGCCTGGGGGCGGGTGGACTGCCGGTCTGCTCCGGTAGGCGCGGCGAACGTGCCGAAAAAAAAGAGAAGTCGGGGGTCGCTAAGGTCGGGCCGGGCGAAAGGGGGGGATTGGGAAAGGGGGGGTTACGAAATTTGCTGCATGCAGCTGGTTTCGGCCCCACCGAGGGGCCCATTCCTCGATACATGGCCGCCTCCAGGCGCTGGGAGGCGCCGGGAAAATAAGCTACGTGAGCTGATTCTCAAACCCCCCCTTTGCTATCCCCCCCTTTCGCCCGACCCGATAAGGGTGCTCTTGCCCCAGGGTTGCCGCGAGTTGTGCGCTCCATTCTGGAGCTCCTGGGCCCCCTGGGCCCTGTGAGGGGTGCTCTGGAGGCCGTGGGGGCCTCCTTGGACATCCTGGGCGGCACCTTGGGCCAGGGGCATTTTCTAGCAACACCCGAAGAAGGGGCGCCGACGATCCTCAGGACGCATGTCATCCCGATGTGTGTGTGTGTTTCGGGGGGGGGGCCGTTCAGCTCCACCGATGGCACGCAGCCTGTGTCGGCATTCGTTGCGCTTCGGTGGACGAGCACATCTTGGTCTTAACACATGTTCTGAGGTCCACTTTGATCCGATCATCTCGATTCGATATCGATTCTGGCTGACTCGATCCGATTAGATGCTGATATTCCGAGGCCCCGATGCGGTCCGATGTTTGCGTGGCGTTGTTGTGCATCCTGGCGCAGCCGGCCCTATTCGATTCCGACTCCGCGCCGTGCCGATGCGGCCCGATCCGACTCACGTTCCGACCCCGTTCGATTTATCGATTCGATGTTGAGTGGTCGTGCTTTCGCAGGGGGCTCTAATCCTCTCTGCATCCCCGTCCCTCCTGGGCTGTGCTGCTCCTCGGTGCGAGGGTGGCCGTCGAGTCGGGGGGGTGCATTTGCCGCTGACGGGTGGCAGCCGAGCGGGGTTTCCGCGCAAGTGTTTGATCGTGGTGCTGCTGAGTATGCTGATGGCGGCGGTGATGGTGCCGATGACGGTGGTGGTGATGGTTGTGATGGTCGCGGTTGTGATGGTGGTAGTGGTGAGGGTGATGACGTTGATGACGGTGATGATGGTGTTGACGGTTATGATGATGATGTTGATGTTGGTGGCGATTATGTTGGTCATCATTATGATCATGATGATGACGACGACTGCGACGTCGGTGCTGCTGTTGATGACAATGCTGGTCACGAGGACGATAGTGATGCTGATCTTGATGTTGCTGCTGCCAATGATTATGGTGCTGATGATGCTGATGCTGACGCTGATGAGGATAGCAGTGGTGATGACGATGGCGATAACGACGACGACGACGACGACGACTACGACACTGATGAATTATGATAATGATGATGATAATGCTGCAGGTTATGATGATGCTGATGCTCATGCTGATGATGACGATGACGATGACGATGACAATGCTGATCGTGATGATGATGGCGATGACGACGACGATGACTCTAATGATAGTGGCACTGCTGATGCAGGCGATGCTGGTTACGATGAGGATGATGATGCTGAAGCTGATTATGTTGAAAACGATACTGATGATGATGATGATGGTGCTGATGCTGATGATGATGATTGTGATGATGATGGTGATGGTGATGGTGGCGAGGGTGATGATGATGATGATGATGATGCAGTTGATGATGATGATAATGATGATTACCATCACGTGATGATGACGATGATGGTGATGGTGATGCTGACGATAGTTAAGATTATACTGATGATGATGCTGATGATGATGATGACTCTGACGAATAGTATTATTGTGCTGATGCCGATGCCAATAGCGATGCCGATGCCGATGCCAGGGATGATGATGATGACGATGACGATGGTGATGATGATGATGATGATGATGATGATGATGATGGTTATGATGGTGATGATGATGATGATGATGATGATGATGATGATGATGATGATGGTGATCGTTGATGGTAGTGATGATGGCGGTGACGATGACCGCGATACTCGTGGTGATGATGATGGTGGCAATGAGCGGACATGTCTAGGGGATCGCAGCCGCCCGCGTCGTCCAGCCCGCGTCCCGGGCAGCCTCGGCGCCGGCCGTGCTGGGCGGGGGACAAAGTCTTTCGGCGACACGTAAGAGTGACCCTGCGCCAGATCAACCTTTGGTGGGCGGCTTCCGGGGCGGACGCGGCGGGCCTGGTAAGGCTACGGGTTGCGCACATACATCCCTCCCAGGTACCCAGAGATCCGACGTCGTGATTTTTTAGGTGCGGGGTCCCCGGAAGTCTCGACCCATTCCCCAGGACCGGTTTTCATCTTGAGTCGTTTTTGACGGTCCCAGGGCCTGGCGAGGGCCCGTAGAGGCCGAAAAATACAACACATTTCTTTGTGGTTTTCTGGAATACGCTGGATCTATGGGTAGTCCGTGCTGGCCTCAACAGGCCCCCCGATCACAGGCCGCTCGAGCGTCCCGCGGCGGTGGCGAGACGCCCCGGCAGCGCCTCCGGGGCGTTCCTACAGACGGCCCGGGGGGGCCTCTGGAAGCCAGCTCGGTCTACTCGGGGGATCTGCTGAGGCCAGCTGGGACTACCTGGTGTCTGTCTGTGCGCAAGCCGAAGCCTTACCACCAAGCAAGCAGGCCGCTCGTGTCGCATCGCATGCAGCAATCGGCAAGCCGCGCACCACAAAAGTCGCCCTTGCTTGGGATGACGCTTGGTGTAGCCTTTGTTGGCCCGGCAGGTTGTTATTGTCCCCCCGCCGTCCTTCCTCGGCAGCGAGAGAGGAGGAGAGGAAGCGAGGGAGGAGGGATCGAGGGGACGGAGGAGGGGCATGAGGATGAGGAGGACGCTTGCCTGGTCCGACTTGTATCATGCTGAGGCCGCCTTCGATGACACTCAAAAGAGGGGGGATTGGTCCGGGGCAGTGATCGGGGGGTAAGCATAGGGGGGTATGCATCGACCTGGAATGGTTGACACATAGACGATGCATCGTTGGTATCAGGGCGATGTAAACGATACTTGGGGCGGCCTGCATCGACGATACATGGGCGATACATCAGCCATTCGAGGCCGATGCATCCACAGTCGTTGCACCTCAATTGGGAGAAGGACGAGGGACCCCTCCCTCCCTTGGGATCGTCAAGTTGATCCGTTTTGCTCGTGAACATCACTCAGGCGTCCGGTCTTTTCTCTCCGTGTTGTCGAACCACAGGCCCAAGAGGGGCTGTGGTTTTCGGGACGTTCGTTTGGTCCAGGACGAGGAACTATTCGTGGCCGAGCCCTGCCGTGGTCAGAGAAGCCCCTTCATTCCCTGTCCAGCTCTACTCGTGGCAGCATGCTGGCTGCACGGGAGTCCTGACCCTTTTTCACATGGCTGGCTCTCCGTCCCCACTCACTGATCGACAGTCCTTCTGCGACCGCGAGCGAGCCCCGCCCCTGCGGTTGGTCCACTCGTCGCAGGGGTATCGGACACCCCCGCTGGGCTCACCTGGCTGAAGACATGCTTCGGATTCTGGACCCCAGCTGCAGTGTCTGAAATCTGACCTGCAGGGGCAGGGTTCACGCGAGGTTGCCCAGTCCTGGGGACCATCGAGGCCGAGAACGGCACAGCACGACCTTCGTAATTCTGTTCGAGACGTCGGGGGTGGCAGCGCGGGCGAGATCCTGGGGCCTGTCGAGGCCGAACAGGGCAAACAGCATCCGTCGTGGTCTTTTTCGAGACGTCGGGTGCGAGGACGAGGGCGAGAGAGCCCGTGGCCCGGCGAGGCCGCACACGGCCAGAGGCACCCGCCGCGAGGTGGTTCGGGGCGTCGGGGTTTGTTTTGGCTCCTGCTCCTCCTCCTCCTCCTCCTCCTTCTCCTCCTTCTCCTCCTCCCCCTCCTCCTCCTCCTCCTCCTCCTCCTTCTCCTCCTCCTCCTCCTCATCCCTCCTCCTCCTCCTCCTCCTGCCGTGGCCTGGAGCCGAGCGCTGCCTCCCGGGCGGCCCGCTGGGACCGAACGAGGGCCCGAGCCAGACGCACGAGGGAGGGCCACGGCAAGGCGCCACGGCGGAGGGGCAGCGGCCGCGCGAGGAGCCGAGGCCCCGCACCCGGATCGGGGCGTCGGGTGTGGGAGCGCGGGTGTGGGGGCCCTCCCGGCGCCCAGGCCAAGAAGGAGGCGGAGGCGGCTGCGCAGAAGGCAGCCGCTCCCGTGGGGGGACGGGGTGCCGGGGGCGGGAACGGGCCAGTGAAAGTGTAGGTGTTTTTGGAGTCCCAGGTTCCAGTCTGCTTTTAAGCGCCTTCCTACCTCAATGATTGAGTGGCTGCCGGGGGCGGGCGGACACCCAATCTAGTTTCAATTCTTCACGCTTCGCGCATCCCCACCATCATCTCCTGGCGCGCAGGAGCCAATTCACCCGCACGTGTGCACCAGCTACCCTGGCCGTTTGCAGTCAGCTCAGCCAGCTCAGCCTTAGCCAGCTGCCCCACCGGCGGTAGGTCCTGATCCCGTGCTCTGTCGCTGTTTTGTTTAGGCTCGCGCGTTGTTCCTCCCCTCACGCCGTAGGCGGCCTCGCCCGCGCGTGTTGAGTAGGTCGGCCCGTGGCTCAGACCTTTCAACTCGGCTCCTGCGCTTTGGCTTGCGCCCGCGAGGAAAAAGCATCCCCACCAGACCTGCACGGACCTCGTGATGATGATGCTAGCGCTTCGGGAACCAAGGGCTCGTCTCATCCCATTCTCCGAACAAGAAGGGGCAGGGGATATCGTGGAGGCCGACCTGGGCAGATGCAAACCTGGCAGCTCTACCGGCACCACGTCCATTCCAAGGGACCTTCATTTCCGGACGCAGTTTGATCTGACATAGAAGATTTCCAATCACGACTATCAGAACCTGCATCGGGTATTAACCAACACGCTAAGACACGCGAACGTGCTTACAAGGATCAGCCACCACCAGGATGTCTCGAAACAAGCAGGATGTCCGTCAACGTGGGAATAATGCAAACGTTCTGACTTCCACATCGAAGGAATCCTACTGGTGATCTACCACCTC